CGCGTCTTCGATGACCTTCAACTCATCGCATTCAAGATTTTTGTTTCAAAGGAAAAAAAAAACTTTACTTATACCAAATTAGCTGCGTACTTTCTGGTGATTACCTATTTGAGTTACCTATTCAAGATGAGACACGCGATAACAACACACTAACCTCACCACTTTTTCGTTTGGGCGATAAACACATGCGTTAATAAACAGCCGAACCTGCTTAGGAAAAGCATACAGCTTCCATGCGGTTTCCACGCTTTTAGTTCCTCTAATGTAGAGATAAGGAAGAGAACCGAAAAACCAAGTTTGATCCTTTGCAACAAATTCATTCGAACAATCTGTACAAGAGGCCCAAATGGGAGAACGCGATAGCTTGAATATGTATAAAACAACCAATAACAAAAGAGAGTTGAGGTGCAAGGAGATAATAAAAGAGGGACTTCAAAGTTCTTAATTGAACTACATATATATAAATTAGTCTAAATAGAATAAACTAGTCATCAATAACATCTCCTTTAGCGCCAAGCCTTTGCGGATCTTGACTCGGGTAGTAAATGTTGCCAGAGCTTTTGGATGTGCTCGCCTCATCGCCATTTGCACTAGCTGCGGGTACTGCTGAACCTAAACATATATTATAGCCTTTATAGAATAATAGTGGAAGAAAATAATAATGAACAGAACTAATGTAAATATCCTAAACATACTCGTTGGAGGAGGTCGCAGTGGCGGCACGACGAGTTTAGTTGGAGCAGGGAACGACGGTGGCACAGGCGGGAGCGGTATGTTCAGAGGATCCACACGCTGCCGTTTGGAGCTGGATGGAGCCAAATCATCCGGTACTGGACATGCTGAAGAATGAGCGGATGTGAGCAATGTTCCGTAGGATTGAGAATTTATAATAAAAAGTTGTTTTTTCACTCTCTAATGTAAAGTAAAAAATTGGACGAGAAGTTTAAGTCACTCAATAAAAATGTAGTACCTTAGGACTTCTACTCAGTGACCTAGACAAGAAAAACTACTAGAATTTAGGAAAAAACAAAGCCTTCTTGATCCTATCTATACAAATTTTGTAATTCATTTAGAACTCACGGTTCGGAAGCGATGGAACTGGGTTGATTGGGCGGTCTTCTGCCGACTTCTGCGCCTGGGGCTGACCCCAACGAATTACAAGACGACGACCCTGAAGATAATTTTGATAGTTTTCGTTAGACACATATGACTATAATTTCATTTCACTTCAAAGAAGATATCTAACCTTCAAGAAAAGTTTGTTAAACGATCTTTCGGCAGCCATCTCGCATGCTTCTCTCGTGGTGAACTGTATGAAAGCGCAAGATTTTGCTTCTAGAAGCCGTAAACTGCGGATATCGCCAAACTGATAAAAGTAGTCACTGAAACGAGTTGAATGTGATAAACTTTTAGATATGATGTAACATAAAGAGAACTCAACCCACTTCAAATCCTT